CGATAGAAGGGTCGATCCGTTTTTCGCCCGCGCCCCCGTCGGCGGCGTCTTGCGATCGAGCGGCGCCCATATCCGCGCTCTGCGGTTGAGGCGGCGCAGTCGCTTGCGAAGCTTGAGCGCGCTGCCCGTGGCGCGCCAGTCCGCGCTGCTGCGCCCAATTCACCGCGGGGCACGTTCGCCCGCCCCTCGGCGCCATCGAGCGCCGAGGCTCGCCCGCCCGGCGGGGGGGGGGGGGCTGACCCGGTCGACATATCCAGAAATCCATCGGCAAGAGGGCAGCGGCGGAGCCGTTCAGCTGGATGAAGGTCTGGTCGCCGCGCGGCTAGCGCCATCGACGGGGCCGACGAAATGGGCTGAGCGGGGGGGGGGGGGGGGGGCGAGCCCAGGATAGGGTCTCGAGTGCGCGCGCGCATGCGGATGTCCAGGGCATTAGCGGCGGGCCAGGTCGTTCCAACGCATCCGGCGAGGTTGGGCCCTTGAAAAGGCAGCGAAAGATGGGCCGAACATCGCGGGGGGGGGGGGGGGCGAGCGCGCGATGTCGCTGGGGCGCGGGCGCGGCCTGAGATCTGCCTCTGCTCGATGGTCTCGGGGAGCTCGCCGAGGTCTGAGATCTCTGCCTCTGCTCAAGGGCCCCGGGGGCGCGTTCTGAGATCTGCCCCTGCTCAAAGGCCGCGAGGGCCCGGCCAGGCCAAGATATGAAGAGCCCATCGATCGCAGAGGCGCGCTTCCCTGAGCCGCTGCAGCGAGCGCTTGCCCGGGTCTAATTCCGCTACCTGCTGAAACGCCCGGTCCCGCGGCGACGGCCGCAGTCGCCCCCGCTCTGTCAGCGCGGCGCCGGGCTCGCAATCGGCGGCGGTGGCGCGCGGCTGCGGGGGGCCGCTGGGGACGTTGAAACCGCCCGCAAGGACCCGGAGGTAGTGCTCATGATCCTGAACAGCCTTCAGACGTTCGCCCAGTAAATGCTCGAGTAGCATCTGAGTCTGGAGCCCGAGCGACCGAAATTGCGCGCGCTTCGGCGCGATGTGATGACGGGGGTCTGATCGAGGCCGTTCGGAGCAGCGCCTGATTTAAATGGCGCATGGAGAGCGCGACCTCGAATCGGCACTAGCCTGCCCACGGAGTCTCCAGGCCCGAGGACGGCCGACAATGATATTGCGGCGGCCCCGCCCATGTCGTCGACGGGAAGAACGAGAGGGCCGCTTCGAACCTATTCCCAGAAGGATGGAGAAAAACCCGGAACATCCGCGCTGCAACCGCGGGCCTCCGGAGCAGCCAGAGCCCAGAACCAGTGGGGGCACAGTTCGCGGGCGATGCTGCCTCCTGGTGCGCACTGGGGCCTCCTGGTGCGCACTGGAGCTCGGGCATGCTGAATGCCGAATGCTGGCTCAGGGGAGGGGGGGGGGCCTCTCCCCAGTAAGCTCGCAACGTGCGTTGAAGAGACCGCGGAAGAACAGCGGGGGCACATCCGTTGGCCCACTTCCTTCTCCGTCCAAGATTCGCTTGGTCTGCGCATCGAGCGTCCCGCTCGCGATGATGCTGTCCGAATGGTTGTGTCCCTCGTGCTCAATGACTGGAATGTCGCCCTGCATCGGCGTGCTTCGTAAGAGAGGCTTCCAGCTTGCACCGATGGCCCTCCTGGAGCGATCTGCGAAAGAATGGTCGCTGGGCGGAGCTTTGCCATGATCTTGCGGATCTGCTTGGTGGGCAATTCCCGTCAGATTTGAGACGGGTTCGGATCCTCTGGAATACGCAATTAGAGGCTCCCTTCGACTCCTGCTCCGATGGTGTCCACATGCTTGGTGGCGGAATTCTGACGGAAGTACATCTCGGTCTTGAACGCCCGCATGCCAGCCATGATCTCGACCTCGGTGCCGTCGATGTGGGACCACGGCGGTTTAACCTCGTCGCCGGGAGCAGCAAAAAAAGTAAGATGAACGAAAACAGGGCAATGACCGCTATTAGGATGAATCGTGTTCTCGTCGCAGAAGACATCAATACGCGAAAGAGTCGTTTTCAAATCCAAACGCTCTTTTCCAACAGCGACAAGGACGGCTTTGAGACCAGGGGGTCGGAGATCCTGCAGGCGCGTGTGCTGTATGGCCAAAGGCTTAGTTACGTCTCCGGCATGCATGAGAAGCGACAACTGTCCGCACGCTTTCGACCGCTGGAACGCGGAACGCCTAACAAGAAGGCTGCCCCGCTCAGCCTCGGGCCTGTCGAGCCGAAGTGGCAACGGATTCCCCCCCCCTCTCCTCTTCCTCCTCATTCCCTTCGCGTCGTTTTCTCCTGTGTCCCCTTAGTCGCTCTCCCGACCTCACCCCCTGGGGGCCGGGGGGCACGTGAAACGCGCCAGGCGCATGCTCGGTCCCCCCCTCGCGCACGTAGTCTTGCGTGTGAAGAACCGCCAACTAGAAATTCGGTTCCCCATGGGGGCCGTGGGGACTTGACAACACCTGCCCCGCGCGTACACGCCATGCGCATGCTGGGCCCCCCTCCTCCG